GACACAGGGATAACGGATTGGACACAGGGATAGCAGGGATTGGACACAGGAATTGGACACAGGAATAACAGGGATTGGAAACAGGGATTGGAAACAGGGATAAGAGGGATTGGAAACAGGGATAACAGGGATTGGATACAGGGATTGGAAATGGGGATAACAGGAATTGGAAACAGGGATAACAGGGATTGGACACAGGGATAACAGGGATTGGACATGGGAATAATAGGGATTGGAAACAGGAATTGGACACAGGGATAACAGGGATTGGAAACAGGGATAACAGGGATTGGAAACAGGAATAATAGGGATTGGACACAGGGATTGGAAACAGGGATAACAGGGATTGGACACAGGAATAATAGGGATTGGAAATAGGGATTGGAAACAGGGATAACAGGGATTGGACATGGGGATAATGGATTGGATACAGGGATAACAGGAACTGGACACAGAGATTGGAAGCAGGGATAACAGGAATTGGAAACGGGGTTAACAGGGATTGGAAACAGGGTTTGGATACAGGGATTGGAAACAGGGATAGCAGGGGTTGGACACAGGGATAATAGGGACTGGAAACAGGGATAACAGGGACTGGAAACAGGGATAACAGGGATTGGAAACAAGGATTGGAAACAGGGATAACAGGGATTGGACATGGGGATAATGGACTGGATACAGGGATAACAGGGATTGGAAACAGGGATTGGATACAGGGATTGGAAACAGGGATAGCAGGGATTGGTCACAGGGATAATGGGGATTGGACACAGAAATGGGACACAGGGATCACAGGGATCAGGTTCAGGGATCACGGGGATCTCAGGGATCGTGGGATCCTCCCTCTGGATGAGCACGGAGCTGCTGCGATGCTGGGGGAGTTGACTCCTCTCCGTGTGATGCTGCTGGAATTGCGAATATTCCTGGGAAAATAAAAGGTCGCATTCGCTGTCTGGAAATATCCGATGTTTGGGTGTGAATATTTGGATATAATCCCCCCAAAAATCCAACATTTGGATACAAAAATCCAATCAGCGGATGTCAGTATTTGCAGGTATCCCCCCAAAAAATCCAATATTTGGATGTGAATATTTGGAGATATCCCCAAAAAATCCAATA